AAATATTTAAAAAAATTAAGCCAACCAAGATCTTATTTTAATCAGATTGAGTCCACCCAAAATCCAAGTAATACTAAACAGTTAGATGTATTCTCACCTTAAAAATGCCATGTATAACATCTATTTTGTACTTGCTGAATTGTTTCATTAAATATTATTTGCTCTTACAGCTCCAGTACTCTTGACAACCTTATAGCATGCCTACAATTTCAACCAATAATAATGTGTTTTATCAGGGATCATCTTCTCACATTATGTGTTCTATGATTGGTTCTTAGATGCCAAAACAAGTACAGAAGGAGAATTTTTCATATGTGGTGCTCAGAAAAGGTCAAAGGTCAAAAGGTATATGATACTATTGCTTATCACACAACCATGGTGCATATTGTTCACAGTCGTGACTCTTAGCGTGAATTATCACTGTTGATATGGTTTGGGTAAACATCATGATATTCATGTTACACATCAAATGATGATTTGTTTGAACAGTACACTGAGAAAAGCAAATCATGTGACTACCTTTTTGATAACAGTGATATTAGAATTTCAGACTGTATAACAATTACAGTTTGCAGGACTTCTTTAATCGTGCGAGACCTTCATCGCATGTCGCTCAACTTCCATACCCCCCCCCCATCTTATAAATCCCTAATGAAACTTGTATTTCCTCTAAAACATTAAGTAAATGTACAAATGACAAAACTTTGTTTTTGTAATCATTGAATAGATCACAGATAATGTATAAAAGACAGGGGCCGAACGTCTGCTGCAATTAGCAAATGATTTGATTTTAAACTTGAATACCAAACCCTTTCAATGTCGAGATGGCTATTTTTGAAAGGGGAATATGACGTTACCTCCCCTTACTTCTCCAAATGTGTATAGCACATTATTATGCGTGGAAATACCCTAAAAATACTTTCATGCTTGTCAAATACCACATGATGTATTAACACCACTGCGACTTTTGTTTGTATCTTGTAGTAAACAAAAAATTGTCTATCAACTGTCAATTAATATCTTTTCAATGATATTTCATTATACAATAATTAATAATCAGAAAATTACATTGAAATTTTAGATTACTATATCAACATCATCTAATTTCTACTTTGTATAGGCTGCAATGAATGGCCAAGGTTAATCCGGCCAGTTCTGGTGAAATCTAAACACATCCATTGTCATATGTGTTGCCATGACGGCAGAATACACCATACAGTGTTAACAGCATCTAAGCATGGAAAGTAAGTATGCCCTTTCACATCATCAGTGGGATCAAAGTGTTTCATGTGCAAAGTATGAAAAGTATAGCAGAGCATTATTTAATATTCATGTTCAATAAATGTTTATTAGGGCATTATTTGGTAGTTGGGTTCAATAAAAGAATAGAAGAACATTATTTGGGATTCAGGCTCAATAAATGTTTAGTAGGGCATTATTTGGGATTCTGGTTCTATAAATTTATAGCAGGGCATTATTTGGTATTTAAATTCAGTACAATTTTAGCAAAGGCAATATTTAGTATTCCGGTTCAATAAAAGTATAGCAGGGCATTATTTAGTATTCAGGTTCAATAAATGTTTATTAGGGCATTATTTGGTTGTCGGCTTCAATAATTTTATAGCATGGCGTCATTCGATATTCAGATTTAGTACAATTATAGCAAGACAATATTTTGGTATTCAGGTCCAAAAAATGTTTAGGTGGGCATTATTTGGTAGTCAGGTTCAATGATAGTATAGCAAGGCAACATTTGGTATTCAGGTTCAATAAAAGTATAGCAGGGCATTATTTGATAGTGCAGTTCATTGCTCACATTTCAATTTATTTCAGGGATTTATATTACTGTGCAAGATACAGTAAGTGGGGAGACCAACTTCCACTTTCAATACTTGCTGAAACAATGAACAAATCCACTCAGGAGAATGATTCTACTCAACACAAGCAATGCACAGAACCTACTACAGAAGAAGATTGGTGACAAATACATCATAAAAATGATATGAATGTTTGAAAGAAACTATGATCACAAATATGGAAGGTGAAGACTGCTATTTCCATTCACTTGGAGAACAATGGATTTTGATTAATTATGGGTCTAAGTGCCCTCCTACTGCAGTCTTGATAACAAGGCCTTTATACTGCCATATGGAGAAGTGTTTCCACAAGATACTATAGCGCCCTCACACTACCATTGTGAGAACAGTGGCCCTCACCACGCTCCACAAGGTGCTTACACATCTTCATATCAGCTCCCTTGAGTGTGGCCGGATAAAACGACAGGAGTTTGTGTTTTACCCTCGAGTATTTCCATTGGTTGTGGACACTGTCCTCTATAGAGTTAGGGGTATCTGATTGTCCTTAAAAGTATGTAGGTACAACATTTATTTTTATACCAAAGTACACTTGTACAGTGTATATTTCAGGTTTGTGTGAAATATCTATATTATTGTATAGTGCATTTAAACTGTACATTACATTGAATAAAACAATGTTGAGGCAAAACAATTGCATTGTATGGCTAATATTCATACCCACCTTCAGCCAAAAAATAGGATCTATTTCATTGGCCCCAGGTGCTGCCATTTTGAGAACTGCTCTCAAGTAACATGGTGTACCAACCTACTTGCAACATTTTGATGCTTTCAACTAAAAATTATTTGAGCACATGGGAGGGTTTCGTTCATTATGACCTTATCCATAAAAGGAATGGCAGCATAAAGTCTAAATGAATGTCACAGACTAGTGAGTGAATCCTCACAACCCTCTAGTAGTTTCATAGTCAAATTTATTTAGAGAATAACAGTTTTATGACATGAGACTTAAAGCTGCTTTGTAACAATATAATTAATTCCCTTCAAAAAATACAGACACCAAATGTGAATAGTTTTAATAGAACTGTTTATATTTAAAATTGCTATAAAATGCCTCAACCAATCAGAACTTGGCATTCACACACCTGGTACAAATTGGCCAATCAGATCTTTCCATTTAAGTGCACAAAGCCTAAGTAGATAAAGTTTGTTGAGAATACAGACTAAGTCACCATATAAAAAAATTCTCTTTCCCCATTAGGCCAAATCCCTGTTGGCTGAAACTAACTAACTATAATAGAGATCCCTTCCAAAGGCAAATATCAAATAATCCACAACACCCCCCCCCCCCCAAAAAAGTCAGTACCATTTCTCGTCAGCCAAATTAGTTACATCAAATGCACAAATCATTAGTGTCATGGTAATTTATCATGCGAGTAAAACCATGATACTGGTAACAAGTGTTAAACATTGCATTTTATGTTCAGATACCATTGTTTGACAAAAAAGAAATACTCTTGTCTAAATGAGTGAAAATTCACTGGGAATTTTAATAGACAATTTGCAAGTTTCTGGTGTGATGTCAGAAAATTGTGTAGGTTTGTTTGATACCCACATTTGCACCAAATGATAATATTCATAATTTCGAGATACTTCGATTCAAACATTTACATTGCATGTGCCAATTTAGGAGGGCTACTGTAGCGAGTACAATAGACTAGATTTGATGACCTACTCAAACAAAAATACTACACATCACTGAAACCTATCCTGACTTGTGTCATAACATTGTGATAGATGTTGAAAAAACTAATTACACTTCAATGGGAGGTAAAACAAAAATAGAAAATATCCATAAATTTTCTGTCATAAAATTGTGCATCCAGTGATTTGATGTTATTGTCAACAGTTTAATTTTCACTGTTTTGATAATTTGAGGGTGCTATCTTAGTTCCCCTAACTCACGAAATGTGAAATTAAGAGTTTTTGGCATTTATGAGTTTTTGAAAGAAAAAAAAATGTGTTTTTTAAACATGAAACTAATATGCACACAAGATAAGCTTAGAACACACATGCATAATATTGATCAGTTAACACAATAAACTGACTTCTTCGATAAAATGAAGAAAATCAACTTCACAATTCTGACAATATAAACCTGTTTTCAAAATAAGTTTTGATTCTTAGAATATTTATAACAAAGATATCATGCATAATTTGTATCTACGTACATACATATACAATTCTCTAAATAACGATCCTCTCCCAAAAAATTTTGAAAAAAAAAAAAGCATACAATCACAAAAATATACATTCTGGGATGACATTCTAAAACTGATATAAAGTCACTTCCATAGTATTTGAATTTGACCAAATGCAAGGTATTAGAAAACATGTCAAACAAGTGAACACATTCATAAATCAAGCTGCCTTACCCTATATGAATAATAAACATGAACCAATTTTGTATGTGTGAAGTACTGTACACTGATTGTGGATCATATCATTTTAAATCTGAAGGGGTGTGCAAATGCACAACAGATTGTCCATGAAATTGATTATTCAAGTAAACAAAGACATTATTTGATGAATTTGGAAATTGTTGGTCCATTTTATAAATTTGTCTTCATCTGATTCAATATAATGTGAAAACTGTCAGAAATTTGAGAATCTGTTGCACAGCTCATCCTGCAGTGTAATTTTAAGGCACTAATTCACACGACACTTGACACTAATACACACACTATATAAAGTATCCGATAATACCTACCACATACCGAATACTGTAAAAAGATATGATATGCCAGACACCTAGAAGTGTAATCTTCAGTCTCCATTCAAAATATGTAAAATTGTAATTTGCATGAAAACAAGAGTAAGCTTTAAATAAATTCAAGTCACATTGAGGGCGCTCTACAATATTTCAAGTTATATCAACTTTTGAAAGATAACTTTGCAAAACGCTATACATAAATCGTCGTACGAAGAGAATTATGATGGTAGAAAGAAATGCAGGTATTATGTAATCTTTGAACTATTGAACCCTGAAAGCTGCAATTTGGCAAAAACATAATAATTCTCTCGCTACAGGCAATTATTTACAAATCAAATTCAATGGTGGGACACACCTTTGTTTTTGTATGTTTGATCAAAACAGTACGGGGAAGAATCTGAACTATCAACCAGTACCAGGAAGAATCTGACATTTATCAAATGCAGCAAATACCATCAGCAAAGATAAAATTGATTATTGGCCATTAAGTTTGAATAGCCAATCATGGCTGATGTAACTAGACATAGGCCTTCTATAATGATATGTGTTTTAATACTGGTATTTGGTCAATTAAAAGTAATTTTTATGAATCCCTTTCTACCATCACAATTCCATAAACACGCACAGAAAAAATCTTTCATTCTGTACAATTCTTTTGCTACGTACACACAGCACACAAATAATGCTGAAAACATGTGGAATCTTTCAAATGAGATATTGTGATTTTTATAAACAACACAAAATCAAAGCCAAGGTTTATTCAAGGTCATGTGTCTTGCAAGTGTTTTGTGATTGGTCAATTCAGTTTTCCATTTCTCCATCATCAGCCAATAAGACATCATCAGCATCCTGTAAAACAGAGAGAGAATTTGTGTCATGTCAAGGTCTACTTTTAAACTTTTCACTACCAGACTATCTCCCTCAAATTTGTCTGCACTTTTTTCTTATATTCTTCAATATTTCTAGAAATGAACCCTAGTTTGGGAGCCAATAGACAAAATCTGAGTCAATTTTCAGTTTTTGCTTAAAAAATTTGCCTATTTTTGTCTCAATCTTCTGAAGAAAATTGCAGACTATAAACAAGACTTTTAAGAAGGAACTGGTGGTGAAAAGGTTAAATACTTGACGATATTGTTTTATTGCTTATTGGATAATGACTATTTCAACAAAAAGAAGATAAATATGCTAAGACACATTTCCATGACCTGTGTTCCAACATTTGTGAGGTATACAAGTTGCTTCCACTCACAATATGGTGTGTCATGTGGTTGTATTTTACTGATCAAAAGTACAAACTGTATACAAGTTGCTTCCACTCACAATATGGTGTGTCATGTGGTTGTATTTTACTGATCAAAAGTACAAACTGTATACAAGTTGCTTCCACTCACAATATGGTGTGTCATGTGGTTGTATTTTACTGATCAAAAGTACAAACAATTTGGAAAATACAAATATTAATATCCTTATGCATTAAACTGCAATACACTACTGTAGAATACTTTATTTTCGCTTGGAATTTATTTTCGCTATTTTCGCTGAATGGATGATTCCGTGAAAATAAAATCCAGCGAATATACTTTTTTTCCTTTATTTCACATTAAATTCATCAAAAATCAGTGAAAATAAGTTCCATACAAAACGCCCAAAAAGCCTTTTCAGCGAAAATTAATTCCAGCGAAAATAAAGTATTCCACAGTATGTTATAATATAAAAACATAAAAATACTGTTATAGATATAAGAACACAGAAAAACTATCTAAGCCTTGCCTGTATAAGAAATTCAGATTTGTGAAGTGAGCTATGTTTTACACATGTGAATTAAAAACAGATTTTGAGAAGTTTGGCCATTATTTGCGTTTGTTGTTAACAAACAATAAACAAACAAGAACAATACTTATGATAAACCCAATTTCCAGGCATTTACCTTGTAATGATGGAATACCGAATTCAATGTACACAAATAAGCTATGACCTATGCTAGCACAAACACATGCTACATGAGTTTCGAATCAACAATTTGAATAAGACCAGATGAGTGCATCATGTACTAGTCAAATTATGATGGGGGGGGGGGGGATTCATACAACAGCCTAACTATATCTAACAGATCTTGGAAAGTAACAGTTCAACACCACATATTCCATAATGAGCAATGGCTATATATTATATGTGGATAGATTTCAAGTATCATTGTACCGTAAAAATATTTGAGGCCGCACCCCTAACTTGAGACATTGTTTCATGTTGAAATTGACAAGTTTTGATCCCAGGAAAAAACCTGCAATATAAGCCGCACCCCAAACTTTCACGAACCAAACAGCCAACACATATTTCAGAAAAAGATATACCATTTAATTTTAAATTAAGGCATAATTTTTCGAACATTTCAATGATTCCTGACGCTCAGATTAGAGTCTAATTTAGGTTTTCCGTAGTCATCAATGCTTATTCCAGAGTACAGGTTTTTTGTGGGTAGCATGAATGGGTAAACTGCGCGTTTCGACAATGAGCTGTTATTATCGTCAAAAGTGTTAAATTCTTCTTCAATGCTCAGCTTATCTTTCGAAAACAACTAATTTCTTGATTTAAAAAAAAAAAATCATGCCGTTTTCCAATCAAAATCAAAGCCAAACGATCGCACTACAACAACGGTAAATCTCTTCCGGGTTTCGTTTACCACGAAGTCGCTGAACCACATTAACATATTTAAATGAGCTATGGTAATTTAATCACGTTGGCACCATCCAGCGTTTCGATTGGTTAATTAGCAACTTGACCTATCAGGTCAAAAAACAGTTTCAAGTCACTAAAGATGTTTGAACGAACATGGCAGATATCGTATCGAATCGAGTGTTTATGTGACCGTAATCATTCGCTTGCGGTGAAACCGAGTTGAATTTTCACAACAATTCAACGAATTTAGTTTTCTGTACGTTATTGTAATCACTACTGAGTAATAATCAGCAATTGTAACACTTCGAAAAAAAGTAAGTTATTCACTTGTGTGAAACGCACCATAACCGTCACCGTGATCATTTGCTACTAAGAATGTATTCGTTTTTGTTTTTACTTTTTTTGGAATATACTTTTGAAAAAAATTCCCACTGTTACCAAAGTGAATGCTCTAATTAAAGCCGCACCAAGACTTCATGCATCTGAATTCGTCCATTGAAAAATTTAATTTTAATTAAAGCCGCGGCCTCAATTAGGAATTTTACATTAATCATGACAAACTATATCATCCCTGTCCTTTCATTACAAGCAAGGCAAAAACTCATAATTACCGTTAAAATCCTAATATAAACCGCATACCTAATAGTAACCGCACCCCCGATTTCGGCTTCAGTGTTAAAGAGTTCTCAACAAAAATTGAAAACTTGAAAAGTACCTATTACTAATCACACCCCTAATTAACAAGACCGTGACTGACTTTGTTTCAACCAGCTGGTACATTTTTCCTAATCCTATTCATTTGTTTCGACAACAT